CACCCAGGAGGAGGAGAGGGAACCTGCCCTGTGCTTGTTCAGACAGCACTAGCAGTTCTTCCCTCATCCACCGCCTCCAGCTAGAAAGAAAAGTGCCCTCTCCATTCTATGCAGAGATGAGTATGTGCTTGAGTGAGTAAGAAAATAAATACAAGCTCTCAAGTTGCTATTCAAAAAGCATCTGTAATACCTGACATTCTCAAGAAAATAATGTTTTTCACAGTCCTCATCTGCTTGCATGAAAAGCTCCTCATGGCAGCATGTGTAAGAGACATGGGCTGCTATCATTCACATGCAACCATAAGAATAAACACACACTATCTTTCTATCTTAGCAACTTGTCTCTTTGCAATTATTCAGTGTGTTCCCTGAGAGAATAAATCCGGTGTAACTCCCCCTCCACTTCCACTGCCATGGCCTTAGAGGAACCAGGTTGGAAAGCTGGTGTGAATGTCACTGAATATATGTAGTAGTACTGAACATGCTGAGCTGCAAAAGATCCCACCAGCATCACCTTAATGCTTGCTAGCCTTTAAAACTGGAATTAGTTTTTTTTTTTTCCTTCCTGGTGCTCATAAAGAGGTCCTGAAAATGCCCCAAAGCTGCTGGGGCCAGCTGCTCTCCCCAGGGCAGGGAGCAACGCACATACCCCTGCTTCCTAGAGGGACTCAGCTGGGATTTTTTTTTTCGCTAGCTTTAGATCCCTCTCACAGTGTGGTTAGGGTCCAAATTTCCAGGGCAGGGAACACACTAGAATTGCAGCCCAGAAACATCTTTTGGGGGTTCTTGCCTTCCCCTCAAACAAGACAATAAAAAGAAGATTATCAGGCCATTCTCCATCCTGGCTCTTTCTCTCAGTAAAATCATTTTCACTCACTGCAACCTGGCTTCAGAAGCCAAATGCAGTGTATCCAGCTACTCCTCCTCACCAGGCTTGCCATGTATGATGAACATGCTTATTTTACCCATCTGTGGTACCTTTAAAGGACTGTGGATTTTTTACCCTCAGTTTGGAGCCCATGTCACCCCTGCATAGGGAACAAAGCCAGCTCTGCTTGCACAGGGAGCTCTTTCCTGCTGTCTCTCCTCATCTAAAATAAATTCCATGTTAAACTGCACCAGCTCCATACATGTGCGTGGGGAGGAACATCAACAAGGGAGAAATTTGGGAGTGGAAGCCGAGGGGAGAGCAGGAGCATAGGGACAAGCTTCACTCCTTTTCCCCAGAGAAGCCACCTCAAGGCAGCGGTAGGGAAGGGCCCATTTCATGTCCCCAGGCAGTCGCTACAGAAGCGCTGCCACCTCTAAAGGAAGTGTCAGAAAGCCCCCGCGTCACCCAGACACTGCCAGTGCAAGCCTGGCACCACCGTTTGCTTGCAAGCCCTCCTGTTAAAGTGGAGATGTTAAAACTATTTATTCCTGATTTGCAGAGCTTAAAACAAAGCAGAGAACCTGCTTTCCTCATGCCAGAAGTACAAGGTTTGGCATCTCCCCCAGGCAGCAGCTGATGTATGGAGAAAACAGGGCTTTCTCCTGACACCAGGGTTAATAGCATAGAAACCAATAGCAAGCAGGAAAAGATCTAGGAATGAGCCTGCTGCTGGCTCTTCTGCTCTTTGGTGCTTTCCATGGACAGATTCGAGGCAGGGATGCATTTAGGAAGAACTCGAGGCAAGCAGAGTTTACTTTTTATTTTAGACATTTCAAACTTAATACTTTTCATAATATAGCAGAAAACAATCCTGCGATTTACTGCAACACCTCTGACCTAGCAAAGGGGGCCTCTGCTTCTCCCACAAAATGGCCTTCCTATTTTTTCTCCCTCTGAAGTGCCAGAACTACCCTTACTGAAAGAGAAATGTCAGTTCCAGCACTACCTCTAAGTCTCATATTTCCAACCGAAGGCAAAAAGAGTAGGAAAGATTCAGAGTTGAATGAACTCTCAGCTGGGCCTTTCCCCGTTTTGTCTCTAGAGTTAAGCCCAAAGCCAGAAGTAACTGAGTTACCTCATACATAAGAGGAGATGTCGCAGAAAGCCACCGCGGGCTGCTCGAACACCTAGCGAGGAAAGCCCCGACCCGCAAACAGCTGGCAGAACGCCGCATGGACAGACCGACCCCACGGGCTCGCCGAGCCTGGCCCGGCCCTCGGGGCCTGCCGTACCTCGGCTTGACCCTGCACCGCTGCTCTCGGGCAACCCAGGACAGCCTGTTCCTCTAGCTCAGTCACTTCTCCCATTCACAGCCACTCTCACAGATGCGGATGTAGCCTGTAGACGGCAGATAACTAGAGGGATAACAAATACGGACTAGGGCTAACATTGCAGCATCACCCTTGTGTCAAGGCTAGAAGATGCTAAAAGGAACAGCATCCTCGGCTGTCACACTGGCACAACAGGACACGGACTTTCCCTGTAAGCTGCAGTAGCTGCCTGAAGCTTTTGGAGTACAACCACTTTCCCAGGAAACTTTTACCTCCTGAAAACAACACGAGCCATCGCCTGTCCCTCCAGCAACTACAGCAAGCAACTGCATGGAAAAGCATTTAAAACAGACTGTTCCTGTAAAAAGCTATAATCTTATCTGACACTGAAGACTGACACACTAACTTCCTAAGCCGAAAGGCTGATTGCCTACCATCTTGAGCTAAAAAAAGCCATGCTGTGGAGCTGAAAATTGCTACCAGCCCGTTTTGTGTCATGCACAGCAACAGAGCACATACCAGTGATTTATCCTTTATTACTGACTTCTGACCCCGAGGGCAGTTTCCATTTCTTCACTTTCTCCACTCAGAAGCGGCAGCTGGGATGGTGCTGCCTGCTTCTCGCTGTCATTTACTTCCAGGCAACAGCAAGGCCTTGGGGGAGCCAGCGCCAGAGCTGCCAAAGCGCACGCACGAGGCCGGAGCTGCTCTTCTGCGCTGTGGGGAGAAGCAGCCCAGGGGCTTCACGCGTCTTGTGCTGAGACCAAAATTAACCTTTGAAATAAACCTCAGGGGAGCCACTGTTCACACTGTGGAAAAGCCAGCAGGAAAACAGAAGAGAATCAGCAGGATCCACATTAGGCTGCATTTGCAAAGGAAACAATGTTTTAAGGCATCTCTGAAGAGGACAACCAGGAAAGTCTCCGGATAGCCAAAAGCTCCTCGCTGCCAGCCAGAAGATGCAGACACTGGGAGAAGGGCCACAGGCTTTCCAGAACCTATTCCTTCTGCAATTTCTAAGGAGTAATCTCCTAGAGGTGCAAACCATCCTGTCATCTGTCATCCTGGAACATAGTGGAACAATTTAGGCAATTCTCCTGCAGACAGGGAGTTCTCATTCCCTTCCAAGTATTTACACATTTATACACATTTTAAAAGTAGAAATAGAGTTGGTATAATAAATCAAAGTAATTGGATGCGGGCAGCAAGAGTGGAAACACTTCCCATACTGTCCTTTCAGAGGTGATGTTCAGCACATAACACAACCACCACTGAGCGAAGCCAAACAAGTGCACAGGCAGGAACCGAGCTTGTCACAACAATTTCTCTTGACTCCTGCTGGGAAAATTTAATATCAGTTCAGGAACAGTGTATCAAGAACACAGGAACTCACTCTAGCGTCGGTGTAACTTTTATTTATTTATTGCTATCAAATACACAGTAAAGGAAGAGCTGATATGGCTATCTCCTGAGTACAATACCTCTATAAATCTGATATTGTAGCATTTGATGGTAGCAGATCAAAGGTGCCGCATACACAAGTCACAAGGTGATTTTCTTAACTGCCTGAATTACAGATGTGTTCCCTAGCTGCACTTGTTTTTTTGTCCCCTCCAGCATTACATAATAAAACTCTTGCAACTGGAAAATAACCACAGATTTTAAGAACAAGGTGTAAAGGGGAAAACAGGCTCTGGATGGTTTCCAATAGATGGTTACTGATGTTTTTCTAATACCTATTTAGCCCTGTAGGAGCCTGCAGCAGCTTCAGTGCTTTTCTGTCCACACGTGCCTGCAAGGGGCTCTCCGTGTGCTCTGCTGGGCAGTGCACCCTCACCAAACCTCCTTCTCTTGGCTGGCAGCTCAGAGCTCCCTCCCTGGCCTCATCCCCAATTCCTCCCCGAAACAGCACTGCAGTGGTAGAAGGAGCCATAGGTTGTACCTATGAAGACAAAGCTGTTGCATACAGAAGGCATATGCAATAGCCAGGGGTACAAGTGAGGTGTGCAGCCCATGCCCAAAGCCCCAGGAAACCCTGAGCCCCTGAGTCCTACCTCTACCTCTGCTGCTAACTTGGTCACTTCGTACCTTTTATACCTTCATGGCTGGGCACTCCTCAGCCACTTGTCCTAAAGCTGGTTTTCCAGGGGAGGTGAGAAACCATCCAAACTGACCTGAAGACTCCTCCACAATGCTTCTTTGGGCCAAATTCACAGCATTATTGGGTTGTCTCCATCTTGCACCATTACCATTTGCTTGAAACACTGTTGCATCAGAAGGCTGTCTATGCTCGGGAGGGCTGGGGTTGCCGCAGTCTTCCGGAAATATTCTTCAAAAATCCTCAGAAATAATTCATACTACTACTACTAATAGTGATAATGCAATAGTCTTCAGGGAATATCCTTCAAAGTGCTGATAGTTGGAGCTGTGCAGCATGCCATTCCTTGGAGGGGACAGGGCAGAACAGGCAAGCCACATCTGATTGAGATGGTTGCACTACTTGCACTACTAGCATGGGCTAGTGAAGTTTCTCAGAAGCACCTGTGCTTGGCAGACAGACTAGACAGGAAAGAATGGAAGAGGCACTTTCTATGCCAAGGTCTGTGGTTCGCTTTATCACCAACTGTGGTATCTTGGAAAAACATAGCCTAACAAAGAGCTGAAGCAAATGGAGTGAACGCAGAGTAGGGCTGCCAGGCCATAGGGAGCACTCAAACTAAAGCAAAGTCACCGTCTATCGAGGGAATTGCCTATCCATAACTTTCCCCCACTTTCCTCATCAACTGGCAAATCTCCTGTCTGACCCTGGTGGCAAATGACTTAATGTTTGCAGAGCTGAAGGGCAAGTTGAGATTGGAAGGTCCTTCCCGTCAGTTGTCACTTTTCATCCCCGGCAGCAGAATCTTTTTGTGACCTCATTATTTGATAGAGAGTTTTGCAGAAATGCTGGTCCTGGCTCAGCCTTTTGGCTGCTTCCTTCAGCTCCTGAATGCCGTCAGCTTCTGCCTGGGAAAAGATGAAGGACTGGGACTGCTTCACTGAAATGAAAGCAGCACAGAAAAGTCAATGCTCTGAAGCAGACGTACGTACTCAAACTCAAGACAGAATTTTAGAGGACGTAAGCCATGTAACCATCCCATCTGAGGCCTTGGCAAAGGATACACTGACCATTGCCCTTGAGCAGCTTCACCTGACTGTTTTCAGAGGAGGGAACAGCTGGCAGCATGGAAACACATCTTTCCTCTTTATGGATCTGTGGGATGATTTCTTGTAGAGCCTAATCTAACCTTGCAAGTCTGCCTGCTTTCAGCACCACATTTGATTACGTAATGTCCAGATGTTCCTTCCAACCAAAATCAATCTATCTACAATCATCACCAAAATCAATCATGCTACGATTAAGCATTAAAATGAAATAAACTTTTAGCATGTGTTTATGCTGGGACCCAATAGCACCACAACATTTGTACATACATGAAGAGAGAACAACTAGTTCATGTACATACATGAAGAGAGAACACTAAGTGCCTGCTCTCTGTATGCTGGGACCCAATAGCACCACAACAGTCAATGCATGCCTTTGTACACACATGAAGAGAGAACAACTAGTTTGCACTTAGTGCCTGCTCTCTAGACAGAGAAGAAACAAGACTTTCTTTCTGTGGTTCTGTGGCACTGTTAAGAAATGAAAACATGAACCATTTGCAGACCTTACTGCTCTTTCAGCCCCATCTGCACTTCTCTGCTCCTGCTGCATATAAAGGAAGAAGCTGCCCAACACCTACAGTCATTCCACGAAGCACTAGCTCTCCGGCGGTGCAGGCGGCAGCTCTTTATGCGTCGCGTGGCGGCCTTATGGATGTACACGGAGTTCTTCATGATCACGGGCATCTTGGCCTCCAGCTCAGCATTGCGGATGCACTCTTCAAAGAACTCTGCAGAGAGGACAGTACTGTGAGTGGTAACAGGGGAGACACTTCATGCAATAAGCAGTTGCCAGGGCATTGCACTTGCTCATAGGACGAGACAGGAAGTGACATTTGACACTTCCCTACAGCTTCTTCACAAACAGCAACCCACAAAACTCCAGAATATCACCAAGATGATCAAGTAATCTCAGAAATCTTCAGTTCACAACACATAAATGGAGACTGAAATTATGAAAAGAATGGCAGCCACCCATTCCCCCTCAGCCATTCCCACAACTGATTCAGTACACCAAGCCAAGTTACTCTCCTCTGATATTAGGATAAGTACTGTGAACCTTTCTTACAGGTGCATTCTTTCAAAGAACTCTAAATTCAATCAAGTCTAGACTTATGGCAAGGGATGGTTAGCAGCACTGACGTGTGAGAGCATGCAGGCCATACACATGGCCAGGGATTTCTTCATATTCATAGCAAATACACACATAACACACTCCCATTCAAAGCCCCATGCCCAAATTCTGATAAAGATATTCTGTCCTAATCTGCCACAAGGGATCATTTTCCTGTCTCTGGCTTACTTCCATGGTCTGACCAACATATCTTCTGCTTTTCCTGTCTCGCTGTCCTCCCAGATCCCTGCCTGTAGCTTTTTCCTTGTTGTTTAGAGGACTCGCACATGTCAGGCAGTATTCAGTGCCAAGAGTTACCTGCTCTAGTTCTATACAGGTAGCTCACAGCTCCAGCAGAGCATTGAACTCAATGCTATTTTAATTCTATTTCCTTAGCTTGGCTCTAAGCCAGTGTGAAAGAGGTCAGAATCATGTATTTGACCTCAATTTAGGAATCTGTCATAGAAACCACTGATTAGTTATTATTTTGTGTGTGCGCATCCATTGGCACTTCAGAACCTCATAGGACTTCAATAAACCTGACTCAAGTCAGATTCTAGGGTAATTTTTATGTTTAAAAAAAACCAGAATTTCAGCAATGTGCTACATGAAGCCTTGGGTTCACGCCTCACCTGCAGGCTGCAGTTGTCTCCCCATGGCAATGCAATGGCAGCTGCAGTGATTCAGCTCTGAGTCAGAGTCCAAGTTCCACCCGCTCAGTCTCCTACCAACATGGTAGGTGTGGTTGCTACAGCAACCGCAGTGCTCCTTTAACCACTGATATTCCAGGAATGATGGCTGAGAGAAAAGAGCATCTTGAGGAGAATCAGAGGATTCTCACACCTCAGACCTATTCAGTCAACCCAGCTCTGCCACAGCTTCCCTGTTTGAATTTTTGAAAACCATTTACTCATGTGTGTATCTAGCTTTGTTTTCCATCAAACAAGCAAGGCTAAAATTGTGGTAGATGTCCAAAGTGCTGGAGAGCAGACTGGGTGTCACCAGGAGTACACTAGGGCACTTTTTGTATCTGGGACAATGAGTAGAAAGGTTCCTCTCTCAAGATTTTTTTTTTAATCAATAGATAAGAAGAGTGATGGACTTACTTCTCAAGTTACTGACATCTGCTTTCATTTTCTCATCTTTTTCCTGGTTGCGGTCCAGAGAATTCAAGCCTTGCTCCAAGCTTTGCAGGGCTTCCTCAGCTTCTCTCAGTCTCTTCTCCAGATCCATGCGCACTTTTACCTCAGCCTGAGGAAAAGAAAGAACATAAATATTCCTGAAAAACTTGTGCAATACAAACCTCCTTCTTCAGGTGATGCTTTCACAGTAACAAATAAAGAATCTTACTGAACAAGTAAATTAGCCATTATAATGAATTAATAGTACAACATAGGTGTGACATGGTAACCTCATGTGTTATCATGATATGAAATGTAACAGAAGACAGGTGACCACAGGATGAAAATATGAAATGAACTAAAACAAGTCTCTCCCACTTGAGATAGGATGAACTGGAAGGGAAAGGGAAAGGAGTCAGAGCCAATAGCCAGTGATTTGTGGTATATGTGGGTGGTACCTTGAGGTCTCTCTCAGTCTGTTGCTTTTCTGCAGTCAGCTCTGAGAGTGAGTTCTGCAGTGCTTGTGATTGGGAAGAGTAAAACTCCCGCTCCTGCTCCAGGGCTCGGGACCGCTCCTCATTCTCCTTCATCCTAGAGCACAGCAAAAGATCACCATTCCCACCCCAGCACAGCTCACAGGAAGGGGCAGGGGCTGTTCTTAACTACCTAGTTGGCCTCAAGGAGTCACTAAATGGACAGTTTGCTCAGCATCATCAGTGTTTCACATCGGTAATGCAGGCATTGCTGGAGAAAGTCTCAGGTGGACAGTTCTTAAACGGGATATTCCCAGCCCCCAGACCAGGTCCACATGCACCAAATGCTTCCTGTGGACAAGATGATCCTATAAAGGATCTCATCTGTGCTGGTCTCAGGTAAATGGGTGAAAAATTTGGAAGTGAGACTAGTTCTAAGACTGGAAATATCCAGCCATGCCCCTTGCTTTTCATCTGCAGGGGAGGGAAGAAAAATTCTTTTTTCCACCATATGACATCCTGTTTCATGTCCCTGACACTACTCTGAGAGCCCCTGCCCTCACTCAACCTCTTCTCTGCCAGGAGTTTCTCCTCCAGAAGTTGCTGCATCTTGTCTTCGATCTGCTGCAGGCTGCAGTGCAGCCCCCAGGTGGGACTTTGCTCTTTGCTGGGGCTGGTTGGAAGTGGGAGCTGGCTCTCATTCTCTTCCAGCATCTCCAGTGTTCGCTGCTTTTCCACAGAGAGCTCCTTAAGAGGGAAAATGAAGACTGTGCATGAGTACCAGCCAGGTCCAACATTTCTGCTCCTGTTCCTGCCTAACCAGCCCCACCATCCTTAAGACTGTATTCTTCAGTCAGATTAAACCTAACAATAATTAAATTTAGTTTCCTCTCACTACCTGCCCCTCTGGGAGCAAAGCTCTACCACAGCCTTTGCTTATGCAGGTGAGTGGGTATGAGTTTGGAGGCTTGCTCTTTGGAGCAATCCAGGGAAAGAAAGGGTTTAATACATTGGCACTATACTTCCTTAATTCCCACAAGGTTCCTGATTTTCTGGGAACCACATTCAGTTCTGTGAAAAAAGACTGCCTTTAATTTGCACCAGGGCAGTGGTTAGCAAACTGCAGCTCAAAATTATCAGAGCGTTGACACGGCATCATATCCACGCTGATTGGAAAGGACATCTGGGAGCCTCCAGTCCAGCCTTCTGCTCTGGGAAGGTTCATCAACAAAATAAAGACAAGTCCAGCTGTGGCTTTGTATGGTCAAGTCTTGAAACCATTTAAGGATGAAGGCTCCACAACTGCTCTTACTGTCCCATTAACCTAGCGTATCTGGTGAAAATTTCTTCCTTGACATTTAGCCTAAGTTCCCAAGTTGCAACTTATGGTTTTTACCCCACATAATATCCTCTGGCACCACTGAGAAAAGTTTAGTTCTACTGAACTCCTTGACACCTCTGGCCATTTTCTGAAGGGATTTTTGCCTTTAATATCTGCTACTGAATGAATCTGTTAACCTGCACAGGATTTAACTCGGACACTAGCAGATGTGAGATTCATTCTATACGACAGCATCTCAGTGAAACTTCCCAAAATGCTGTCACCCAGAGGGGAGATGTGGTCACTGACCTCCAGGGTTTTCTGCAAAGACTCCGTCAGGGTTCGCAACTCTTTCTTTTCTTCCTCCACCCCTTTAAGGGAGTGGGCTGTGAGCTCCAGCTCCCTAAAGAAGCAAAAACAGAGAGAGTTTTTGGAGGTGAACGAGAGCCCCGGACTGCATGGTCTATGCAGGACCTGCAAGCTGTGGTTTGTATGGGCAGCCCTCAAGAGTCAGAAATCTCAGGCAGGAGTGTGCCAGAAAACATTAGGCCATGAGCACAGGGCAAGTGTCCAGGAACTTAACTGTGCTTCCTATTAAATCCATCCCAACTGGTAAAATGTTTTCTAGCAAGAGCAGGTGGCAACTGAAAGAGTTCAGATAGGGTAGATTTCTGCAAGCAGTATATTCCTACCAGAACAGTGGTTGATAAATCCCACTATTTTTCTATGATGTTATTTAGGGGGAAAAAAAAAAAAGAGGGAAAAAGAAAAAGAAAAGAAAGAGCAATGTCAGAACATGCCCTTTCAACATTTATGGCAAGAAATTTGTGCCTTTCCCTTTCTAAATACATTTGTTGTTTGTATTTTGGATACAACCTTTGCCTTTAGAAAGGCAAAGTGATTCTCAGTGAGGCAACTTGCACGTTTGCCCAGTGTCATTCAGCTGATTCCCAAGCAATTGTGGAACACCATATTCAGATGCCTGCAGCCCTCATGGCTTGGAGCCAGAGGAATAAGGAAGCTGCCCCTCTTTAAGCTGCCCTTCTTCCACACCTGATTGCTGCCGTATTGCCCTGACAATTCTGGGGTCTGC